CCGAAAGAGAGTTTAGTAAGCGAAGATTGGTTGCACACAGTTGGTAGGATTGTGAGCGTTTAAGCATAACATAAAGGTTGTATCATTGATGCATGCGCTCGATTTGCTTCTCCATGGGCTGCGTCCTAAGCCTTATAAAACGTTCCCGTCCATTCTTAAGTCACGGAATGGCAGAATTTATCACTTCACACTTCCGGAGAATGTCAGTGCTATGGATGATGACAGCATTGGCAGTTACACAAACACTTTTTTCGAACGGAGTTTCACTGATAACAGATTCCCAACGCTTAGCAGCAGTTCCGTACATGAATTACAGAATTGTTAACTGATGATGAAGAAATCAGAATACTCTCAGCTAGTTGGCGTAGCTCCCCTCCATCATCTCGATGATGAACTAGCCTTGCTGCAACTTACTCAAACGCATTGCTATTCCACTGATGTGGCTCGTCATCTTCGACGCGACAAAGACGATCATCGAGTTGGAAAATAATGGGGATGACTCATTTATTACATTTGTTTTGTAACTCAAGCATAAAACATGAAACTTGCCTCTATGTTCATAACTTATTGTCTATCACACTGTAATACTGATGCTTGGCGCGCTCTCCCATATGGCTAGTAGTTGAATGGCTTCAGCTAGACAATTGTTGGATTTGGAGCAGCTGCATCCCCTTACCAAAGAAGGGTCTCAAATTCGCTCCTGTGGAAGTTCAAATATAGACATGGATATATTGTTCACTTTATGAAGATAAATTTGTCCCAAGAGTGTGAACTTCCATTTTTCTTCCCACAATTTCCCCTAATTTCACTACAACAACTAAACGACTTTTCTTCGAATTTCATCAACGATACCCAATTGCACCAGTGCTCAAATGTATGAACGAAATTGGAAAGAAAAAAATCTCTGAAGTTCTTGAGACTACTTGAACTACGACGTCTCAAAGGTCAAGATAAAAAGGTTCATTTCTGTTTTCAAACTCTCGTCACAATATACTTCACGAAATTGTCAACAACATCATCAAAAGCTGGTAAAATTGTCCATCCAAGAATCAATTCAGTTTTCTCCAATTTCGGAACGTCTTTAGTTCAGGTGAACCGCCGATTTGAAAAGCCCTTCCCTGTACACTAATGTGAGAATGACTGTTCTATGCAAGCAATATGTGAAGTTCCGGCGAGCATCAAAACTGCTAATCTATATAGCCTGTCAATATCCCAGGTCATGGCACTCCCCAGAGAGTGTCTTTCGTGTAACATAATCAAATGATCGGGCGAGTACTACCACCAGATCAGAGGACTAGCGATGGGGCAAAGGCCTGCTCCAGTACTCGCAGTGGCGTACATGTCGACAATTGAACTACTTGTTTTAAGGCGTAGACCTATTTTGCACTGTGTATAGACGATTCCTCTATTGTGTGCTCCACCAAGACAGAGATGTAGACTTGTTTCGAAATTCTCAACCAACAATAGGAATATACAAAGCTTACCAGGGAGAAACCGAAAAACGATTGGCCCCCTTTCCTCACTGACCAGGTTCGAAAAACTGCGGGAACTTCAGCACGTCAGGACTGCGGGAATTGCAAGCGTGCCAGTAAAAACATAATAGTCCATTTCGATCCCGTTCATCCATTTAAGACTAAGAAAGTCATCATAAGGAATATGCTGCTCACCGCCTCAAGAGTTTCCTCGGAAGGCGAAGAGAAAATAAAGTCGGTACAACGGGCGCTGTGCATAGCACTGGCAAACGGCTACAGAATATCAGGATTTCAATTTCGACAAAGACGAAGGATGGTGGCACAGAATCCACCATCCGTCGTCTTTGTCAAAAAGGATGTGGACACAAAAGTTGCATTTTGTGTCTCATTTCATTTCAGACGAATAAAACAACGGCTAGTCCGACTTTGCCTGTATGACCCGAACGCGATTAAATCTCGCCACCGGCTGCCGTTGAATTACTTCCCCGCGCGTGGGTGTTTGAATTAGAAACCAGGTAACAGTCTTGAAGCGGGCGCCCCGTACCCCAGACTGGGTAGAAAAGTAGGTTGTTCCCCTCGACAAGCCCTATACAACCAAGGAGGAATGAAGCTATTGTAGTTAGGCATAATGACCTAAAATTTGATTTCCTACAATGCCGTGTGTCAAGGTAGGCATCTTCCTCCAGAACTGATGCATGTGATCACCTTACGTAAGTTTCTCACAAAAGCATTATTAGAAGAGAATCACGTATAACACCACTTGGGTTATTTCTGTCTTCCTCGTATTCCTAGCCTCGTTTTTTCTGCATAATCCTCTTTTTTTCATCCACTTCTGTTTTCCCTATCGAGTTAGTCTTGGAGGCAGCAACAAAATAGGGTTCCTTTTTAAACACAATTTCCAGGATACTCCGGATAATCAACCACTAAGTACTATTTGCACCTCCGTGGAGTGACGAGCACTTGAAGGGCCTGTGATCTTGGTGCAACTCATCCTTTGTCATTGAAGTTCACATCAATATTTTTATAGAAACGATCAGAAATGTCTCATTTGAGGTCGACATGTGACCCTTAATATTGCCACCTACTTATGATGGTAGGAGAACTGAAGAATCTCCCAGAGTGTAAGCTGAATCAATTACTTCATTGCGAGAAAACCTCCAATTTGCAGTCAGGAAGTACATTTCGAAGGCAGACAGTCATTGGAAAACAAAAGATACCCCCTACTGACAGGTGGTGTTTCATTCGGTGAAAGACCCTTCTCACCTTTATTGTATGCCCTTTTCATTAGAGTTCGTAACGGGAAGGTAGACTACCACCGACCCAACTCCTCCTTACTCGGAATACAGCGCAGGTCACATAAACAACAATATACATTTCTGCATCGTAGGTATATAATGTGCTCTAATGACAGTCCACGAAAGACCATTCGAATATTCACGCGCGGGATAGTAATTCAAACGACAGCCGGTGGCGAGATTGAATTGCGTTCGTATGACCCCTTTGCATAACGCCTTCGCGCGTCATATGCTCAAGTTTGTAGGGCGTCCGGTGTTGTGTAAGTGTGTAAAGAGGAGTACTTTGGTGAAATAGGCAGATCTTCTTCACCAGGATAAAGGAATACCTGGATGGCATGCAATAATTGAGAATAGCTTATCCTCTGGAAGAACATAGGGTACGATGTCATAGGAGTACGTGTTTTCAGGTGTCCGTCACGCTATTACCACGTGAGTCCGTCATTGCTACACGGCAAACCCTGGAGGCCTTTCAAATCATGTATAAGGCTCCTAAACTCAACAGAAGGAGAGAGTGTGTGCGATTACCACAGAGCTGGCGCCTTTGCAGCGCTAAGCGGCTTTTGACCTGCGCAGTAGATCACGCGGGATTATTGTATAAGCCCCTAATCTCTCGGCGGGGGGGGGGGGGGGGGGGGGGGGGGTAAGAGGGCTTATACAATAATCGGTAGAGATTGGGAAGGGGTAAGTCTTGAGCGGCTTTTGGGGAGGCTTGATTCAGTGATCAGAACTCTAGAGACCCCTGAAACAATTGACCTAGGTTCACCGTATTTAAACCGCAGTCGTTCCAGCCCGGGGTGATCTTTGTCTTTCCTGGTTCTGAAGAAGGTGGAAGCACTGAAAACTCAAATCGAATAACGTATCGTTAAGACCTGGTTTTGCACAGCAGAAGTAAAACCCACAACTGGGAAAAAGGTGCCGAGATTCAAAGGAAGTCGCCTCGAAAACTTCGCATGAATATGATCTTATCAATTTCGATACCTCACTCGAAGGGAGTAAGCCACATTGGTCTGGTGGTGCAGATTACAGTTCAAACCATCATGGAAGAGTGGAAAAGCTACGCGAAACGATATGGCCCTTTTCAGTAGTTTGTAGTTTCAGCACCCGTAGTGGGAAGAAAAACGGGGCTAACCTCTATTTCGGAGCACAGTATAGTCTATTGCTGTTTACTAATGCTGAGACAAAAATGCGATATTGTCTTTTCATCGAGTGATAAGTTATGAGCAAAGTTTACATAAACGCAGTGTCGTTCTAATATGTTGACGACAATGTCGATCAATGGTGCGCAAAAGTCATTCTGTTTCGTAAAACTATGCCCAGGGCTGCGCGACGGTATATTATTCCAATCAAAATGGCATCGACCACTTACAAATAAATTTCAAGACTTATTTTTTATTAACAACCAAAAATGAAATGAATGTCTGAAAACAAGCAAGTCATTTTCATTTTTAGTTATTAATAGAAAAAATGAAATATAAGTCTAAGCAACAAAATTTGTTGCATTTACTTTGTTTTGTCTTAGCTAGCCTCCTTGCGGTCGACGTGCCTGGAGTTGCAGAGACCGAGCTATAGCAGCCGGGATAAACCGTCATCTTCCTCGCATACCCCACGTTCAAATTTATCAGCGCCAAATTTGACTCGAGTAGCTACTAATGTCGGAGAAAATTCAGATATTGCTGGTAGGTTTGCGAAATATTTTATCATGTCATGTATCTCAAATGTGTTTGACTGCAATCGCTCATTTTTTGAGAAGGATCAAATCTCCAACATGTAAACGGTCTTGTCTCTTGCACCAGTCACGAAAAAATTGGCTCGTTGACAAAGCGTCAAAATAGGCAGTAGGCAGTTGAAGCTGCCATGGCGCAGCACTGCTACTTTCGTCTTTTTAGGCATCGGCCTTGCGGGTTTGCTACTCGTTGCGCTAACTCCTGAAGTATTTTTCCTTCCTGTGAAAAAATAATTTTGTCACTGCCCCTAGTTTGATTAGGGGCTAATAGATCGCGCTTCGTGGAGTCCTCGCAAGATTTGGAAGCCTTAGTAACAACTGAATTATTTTTTGACGGAAACCCGATGGAGTTTTAGGAAGATTGCAATCCTCAATGCCCTGCCATCAGCAACAAGTCTAAATTTAAAGAAGAGCAATTTGATCTGATTATGTTGCAGTTGCTGCACTACTCCTCTGTTAGGGACAAACAATGACGGCTCGGTGAAGCCTCTAATAATGTAACCAGTACAATCAAAACGTACTAATCGAACTAGTGAGGATAAAAATTCTAATCGACAAAATCACCTCCTCTTTAGGGATGAAGTTGGAAATAGGGCATGATGTATCAAACGACTTCGCAAGATACCACGGAGCTCCATTCTGTTTGGCCTCGTCCTGTAAATATAAAAGCATTTCATCAACAGTTTATCGAACAAATCATTTCTAATGGACGTATGCGTACATTAGGTTGGCACATACCTTGCGGAGCATGGGGTACCTCCGTTTTCAATTTTTTTTTCTTTCCCAGACATATTTATTCAACAGGAGTCTGCAAGATAGTGCTAACGCTAACGTAGCTCTTCAAAACTGTCAATAGAATCAAGATCTTATGGTCAAAAAAGATTAGATGACGATTTTGAGTTCGTGTAATTTTTTTTATGGAGCATCCCACAAAGCAGAATGTGAGGTAATCCGACAGCGCAAGATCATGGTGATATGATGGTTGAGGAAGTATTTTCTCCTAATTTTTTTTTCAGCATAGACTAATTTTTTTTTCAGCATAGAAGAGTCAAGTGTTGTCATCAGGAAAGTAAATTCAGTTCTGTTGTCCTATCAACTTGTTGGCCACTGAGTCTATTCGTGCACAGCAGGATTATGCATTAAGTGTTGCGTTGATGGGTAGAAGTTCCCACTGAGCAGCTCTTCTTGCATTCCACCAGACACAGAAGAACCTTCGCCGAATAAAATTTGGCTTTGTCCGTCGTAAATCTACAATCGCAGAGACGGAGCGCTGTAGGGCTGCTTGGTAAAAGATACTAAACATTGTCGATAACCATGTTGGATGGATGGTCGAAGGTACGACCAGAAGATAAGATATAAATATTCCATATTGTATGCGAAGGCGTTGATGACTCAACACACGTGGGAGCCAAAAACCACATTTCCCGATCTTCGCAAATTCATGAAGGTAGGTCGTTATAGGAGCTGCGATATTCAGAGATATCATAATCGGATATCTCTACTCGGATGCTGTTCAACAACATATAAATGGACGGCTATAATGTGGGTTTTCTTCATGAGGAAAATGCTATTTACAATCGACTGTACCACTTAAACAGTGTTGTTTGCTATGTCGTCGCCCTTGAGCTGATCATTCTCCGAACTGTCTCGGGACTCGAGTTCGGAAGTTTTAACCCATTGACGACCATGCAGTCCATATGTGGACTACACATTTTCGGCCATCTAGGACCGTGCAGTCCACATGTGGACTGCAGTTGTATTTTTTGTTTTATTCATCTATATTTCCACTTTTTTTTTTACAATTTTTCTTCTCAAAACATTACATCAGCCCTGAATGAATGTACATACAGCGTGGCTCTGGAAAATCTTCTAATTTTGCAATTGTAGAGATTTTTTTTCGAAGGAGTACATTGCGCTGGTGAATTATTCGTTCGTTGAACAACTTCAGAAAATGAGATACTTTGAAAAGACGGTCGTCATCAGCATTTTCGCCGTTACGGACCGAATGTAAAACTCGTGAAAGTTCCCCGAAACGATTTCTGGTATTGATTGAACTCGTAATTGAATGACCACTAGTTTTATTGTTAGTGCCGATATTATAATAAAGATCAATAATCACTCGATGTGTCGTCGCTCTTCATCTGATCATTCTCCGAACTGTCTCGGGACTCGATCTTCATTCATATAATTCAAATTCTTATATACTATAAGTTCTTCGGAATACTTCAGATGGGCTGGCATTCTTACCGAGCCCATCTGAAGTATTCCGAACAACTTATAGATTTCTCTTATTTTTCTTACAAGCTCAAAAAATGGTTATGCTGGGCCATGAAGTCCACATATGGGCTCCAGTCGCGAGTGGGCTAAAAGCGCGCCGGCCCGTCGCGGCGCTTTTCCCCCCAAACGTCATGGTCGTCAATGGGTTAATGTGTTAATGGGTAACTTTCAAGAATGAGTGGTTACTGACTGAGTCTCTCGGGGCGTCAAACGAATACGAGGACGACCGCTAGCGCAATGGTCAGACTTCAAGAAAGCTCCGAACAATAGAGTGCTATGCCATGTGCCCCTGAAGCGAGAACGATCCTCTGGAAACACCAACCGTACTTATGTAATCCGCTGAGTGTGGGTGTTGGTGTGCTTGTGTGTGTATGTGTGTGTTTGTGTGCACAGGACCGGACTGTGCTAACAGGGGGGGGGGGGGGGGGGGGGGGGGGGGGGGNGGGAGGGGGTGGTTTGCGCAAAATAAATGTTTTATCTAAAATTCATAAATCCTGTTTCCGTAAACCTAGAACGTCCAAATTTTGTACTTGTACGAGTACAGGTGGCAGGAAGGGTATACTTATGCCCGCTAGCATTACTGGACTCCGGCTACAGGGGCGTGGTTTGTGCGGAGTAAGAGTTCAAGTGGAAATCCATAAGTCCTGCTCCCGCGGACTTAGGGCGCCTGAATTTGGTAGGGATAGAGGCGGCAGGATGGAAGCACTAAAGATAGGTGGATAGGATATTCAGGAAGGTAGGAATGGATTCCGCCTATAGAGAGCGGGGTTTGAGCGAAAACTTATAAATCCTGTTCCCATGGAACTAGAGCATTCAAATTTCGTAGGAGCACAGACGACACTGGAGGTTCATTGGCGATAGGTGACACGAGCTGACTCCGCCCAGAGCGAGCGGGGCGTGCGTGAAAACTGGCAGTTTGGACATGGGGCATTCAAAATTGCTAGGTGTACAAGCGGAAGGTTGGGAAAACTGAAGATAAGTGGTAGGTGGATAGGAGAGGTAGGTGGGTAGGACTGGATTTCGTGAACAGAGAGTGGGGTTTGAGTGAAATGTCTGAGCAAAAATTCACAACTCTTGCTTCCGTGGACCTAGAGCGTTCAGATACAGTAGGAGTACAGGCGGCAAGATGGGAACACTGACGATAGATGATAGGACTAGATTCCGCCCACAGGGGGCGGGGCGTGAGCAAATATCGCTAATTTGGACTTGGGGTGTTCAAGTTGGACAAGCGTGCAGGCGGTAGGATGGAAATGCTGATGAGTGGTGGCACAACCTGACTCCGCCCTTAAGGGCTCCCGCTTCGAAGGGAGTTACCATGGGAATGAAATGAGGGAAAACACGCAGTAAGGTTAAATAAGAGGGGAATGAACCATGTTACTTGAATACACAGGACTTCACTTACAGCGGGCAGGACGCACGAATTGTTTTGGTGTGCGAGTTCTTTTGGCTACTGCTCTCTTGGATCACAGCTTTTGAACTCGGGAGAGTGCAGGCGGCGGGTCAACTTTAAAGGCACAGTTCACGATAATTTTGGGTAATCCAGATTATGATGAAAAATGGAAGACAAGATCGAAACTAGTGCGACTGAGGTGAAGAAACTGCGTGCATCGGAGTTTCCAAAGTGAAAAAAGGCTTCCAGAAACCGTTAAAAAGGGGGCTGGACGAGAATGAAATAAGAAAAATGGAGAAGAGTGGGGCGTCCGGACGAGCTAAACAGTGTGTTTCACTACGCGCGTGTGGGTCCTGGTGCGAATAACAGACAATGGTAACATTCACTTCGTAACATAAATAAACAAAAAACCCTAGTAACAGCAAAAGCAGCTCACCTTTTTCAGACTCTAGGAGTAGGAAATTGAATAAGAGATCGCGGCAGCAAAAAGAAAAACAGAGGAAAAAAGGATGGGAGAAAAACATCGCCCCATCACTGGGCGATTAGCTGATTGTGCGTGGGTCCTAGAACGAATAATAGGAACCTGTATTGTCTCGACACTCGTCTAACGTGGCACCGATCGAGGGGCGGGAAAGCGAACTACGGCAGAAACGGGCTTCCGCTATGCCCTGAGCGCCGAGATTGTGGGAGCGAGAGGGTCCCTTCTACCACCCATGGGGGGCGCTGAGTTTTCCTAAAGGAAGAACTCAGTAACCTTTTTTATCGGGAACCGTACCTTTAACACAGGAAGGAGGAGAGCCCGGCGTTAGCCGGCCGATCAGACTTATGAAGAAAATAATCACTGTCACGATTAACAAGAAATGTCCAACGCTATACCCAACTCGATTCGAGAAGTGCAGACAATAATGGATGTAAGGGTGCCAGTTCTAGAGAGGCCAAAGGATAAAGGTTTGGCGAGATTAACCCTTTTACGACAACGCGCCCTTTTGCGTGTCTGACGGAGGCATTTCGAAGCTTTTCGCTTCCGCGGTCAACGTTGAGCCGCGCTGTCCCACGGTTGATACGTTTTTCTAACGCGGACATTTTTTGCTTTTTTCAAACATTTTCTTTCATGATTTAGTCTGAGCGAAAAGGAATACAGGAATACTAATAAAAGTCGAGGCAGTTGAAAGGGGGACAGGTTTTCAGAAAATTTGTAACAAACAACTATCTCGAGCTTAAGGAAGTGTTCAAACCCCTACAGACGAGTCAATTCTTGGGGCAGTAAACGTGAAAGTGATTTTTACATTGATTGTTTTCAAAACATGCACAAGAAGTGTGATTTCCAGGGAGAGAATTGAATTTATTAGTAGTTTTCAGAAATTAGCAACGTTTTTCCTAGCCCACTTTGTGTATAGCGTTATTTGGTGATTGCAAATCCATTAAATACAAAAAAAATCCAAGTAAAACTAAAAATCGAGGCCCATGACAAGGGTGCGGTCCACCGTTCAGCCGCGTTGTCCCACGCGACCAAAAATCCGCGGCTCACCGTTGAGCCGCGCTGTCGTCAAAGGGTTAAACGCGGTTGGGAATCGTCCCCTTCTCTCTCCCCCGCATTCGAACTCCATTCAGAACCGTGCAAGCGGATTGAATGCGTACTTCGCCGATACAATGGTTTGCGGTGGAGAGTCGATGTACAAGTTAGTGTTTTTGTGCCCCAAGACGAATGTGGTACCGTGTAACCGAACGAACGCAAGGGATGAAAGGCTCGGTTGGTCTAGGCGTAAATCGATCTGGAAGTCGATACCAGGACCATGATTGTGTGGTAGTGCGTCACTTGTTATACCCTTTATGCCAGTTCCATATGATTAACAAATTTACTCTCTGATAGATGGAATTCATTACTCGAAATGAACGAGGTAAGGTCCAGAAAATAGACAAGACAAAACAAAGCTTTAGCAAAGCCACTTTGGTAAAACTTTTCAGGTAGTGCTGTAAAACTGAACTACACGGTCAGGCTTCCTGCACTCCGGACAGAATGGCACCTTGGCATCTGGGAAATTTTCGTTGGGAAGAATTGACTTGAGTGATCACTGTGTCACCAAATAGCAAGTTCCCAGCAACACATCCCGTCCGAATCCCACCAATAGCACAACAAAATCTTTCCATGCAGTCCTGCTTCCGGCTCTTTTGGCTGTGGGGTTCTAGAGAAGGTAATTTTCATTTTGTATTCAGCATTAGCTCAGAGTTTTAACCTCTAGTGAAGAGCTGATATTGGGAGTCACTTCAAGAGAGTGAGGGCACAGACACATTCTTAAAGCTAAGTGTGAGCATCCAATATGTTTGAAAAAAAGCCGACTCAGTTTTCTGTGGTCCGGCGAAACCCCTACCGACTGTTGAACAGCCGCTTCAGTCTTTTACTCTGTATTAGTGCACGTTTCCGAAAAGATTGCAAAAAGCATCGCCAAATCTTGATACTGAACTTTGATGTCAACCTAGGTTAGCGAAGATACTAAATGCAGCGCAGCCACATGCTTTCAACTTTGGCAGCTTCAGAGCGAACAGTGGAGAGAAATGAGCCCTCGAAGACTGAGGAAATGAAAACATAATAACAGACTTTAATGAAAACAAGAACCTGGAAATCTCTTGCTGTCATGTCCAGAGCAACTGCATAACCACCAATGTAGGCCATCGCTTCACTTTTCGGTACATTCTGCGAATATATTTGGTCAGCTTAGTAATGGGAAGGACGGTGTTCTTGAACGGTATACTTCACACCTTAGCAGTTTTACCGATTACAACTGCAAGTTCTACTTCTTGGTGGAGATTCTCGCATCCGGGAGGAGTAATGATTGGTTGACCTTCTTGTACGAAAGCGTTCGGCGACTGTAATGCTTATTCCCTTACATATAAAAAAAAANAAAAAAAAACAAAACAACATGATCGGGAACCAGCCAAGAAAGGTAGCCCCGTATAATTCATTCATATGCAAAGCACGAAAATAATCCCACAAATCCTTACTACTTATTTAATCGACTCTGACCTTGACAAAAAGCAGTGGCTTCGTCGGGACTGGATTCCCGAGTTCCAAAGCGTGATCTCTATAATTCCTGCCTACGCATACGATTTTTCGTGCCAGAGAACGAAAGCCGGCCAGTGACATCTGATGAAAGAGATATTGTTTTCCTCAAACACATTCAACCATTGGAAAAGAGAAAACGCTCGATTCGATTGAAGATAGAAGACGAATTCTTCTAAGGAAAAAGAAAAAGGAAAAACGACTGCACTGGAACGAATGTGCTTTATCTGTCACTTCGGAACCACCCATACAAGGCCATTTCTGCGCTAAGCAAGTCGTCCAAACCCGTTCAACTTCTCGATTACGGTTAACTGTCGACTTTCCAAAATTTTGGGTTGCAGCTAAGTATGAATCGACCTTGATTAAGGGGCAAAAATCCGAAGGTTGTAATGAAGGTATGGTCTTTTGACGAAAATTAATCCCGTTTTCAAAATACGCCGCTTCATTCAACTTTTATTGAGAATCGTAGCAGCATTCTGAATGAGTTTGGAGCTTATACAATGATTTTTAGTGGCCAGCCGATATACAAGTCACTGCTTCTATACTTCCAAACTCACTAACGGACGCCGGTGCATGTGTGTGATAGGCACCCACTAGCCGTAATACCTCCTCCCAATAAATTCGATGTTTGCTAAGATAAGTGTACTGCTGTAGCTTCGCTCACAAAATTCCAGTCCAAAGAGAGATTGGAAAAGTCTAAGCGTGTTGTGTCTAGCTGCTTTCATAGTCCGCGACTTGGCCCGCGAGCGCGCGAGCGAGCGATTGGGGCGGCGCATGCCCCTTGTTTACAACTGAATCTTGGTCGATACCGCGTGAAGAGTGGTCCTCCGCCTGGCTTGCGGACTATGAAAGCAGCCTATGTTTCCTTCCAGTATATCAATGCGGTTCTGGCTTATTTAAACTTCAAAGGCCAGCAGACAATCATGAAGACCCTCCAAACATTTTTCATCGGAAATACGGTGGACACCGTCGACGTTCACTGATATGCCAACTAGATCCGTTCAATACTCTCTTCCATCGCAGATAAGCTACTAACCGTCATCCGTTAATCAGTTGTTCTCCTCTACCACTCTGAAATTCATAGACTTCTCTTAACTAGATGGCATATGGGATAATATAATATTACATGTGGGCGGAGTCCAGTGGTGCTACTTACCATTACAGTTCAATGTTCCTATACTGCCGCCTGTGCTCCTACCAAACTTGAATCCTCTAAGTCCACGGGAGCGGGAGTTGTGAATTTTCGGCCACACACCACAGACAAACACAGCTACCACGTTATATATAGTAGGACCATTCACTAAAGCTTTTTGCAATGCTAGTTAAGAGCGCACAACCGCACGTTTATAAAATAAAGCTCCGTATCAGAGTTCCTGCGGGTGCTGATATGGAAACACAAACACATCTAACCTACAAATTAAACTTAAAACAAAAGCATAATACGTCATCGTAAGATATAGGCTCGCCTTTCAATTATAACTCAGAATGAGGGTCACGCAGAGCCATACAAAGAGACAAGATGGTGTCATTTCAATTAGTACAAGCAATATCTCTTCCCAACTGGATACAAAGCTTAGAAGCTTTGTAGAAGATGATCTTATGCAACTTTCCACACACACGAAATCGTTGCAAAACTTCGGAATAAGAGCTATGGAAGCGTTGATTTGCGAAACATTGTAAATGCTTTCACCAAAGTCAGTTGGTGCTACTCATAAGGAACTTATTGTTAGTACGAAAACCCTACTGATTGTGAGACAATAGTTTCTCTGCGTCCAGTCAGTCTCGTGGTAGTGATGGATCACAGCCTAGTAACTACCCAACCCCTGTGCTGCCCAAGGCTTTTGCTGAAATGTAAGCAATTAAGCAGCTTATGCCGTAGAATGAAGTGTGTGACCCGTAAAGTTTACGTCCAATGCGCATTTTATTACAAAATAAGGCCGGTCACTAAAGCAATTTAATTTTGCATCGTACCTGTTTATTCTTTGCAACATGTTCGTTGTGGGACCAAGCTCCTGTATTCTCCTGACAGTTTGTTTTTCACTTTCTACATCGTATTGCAAATGCGGGCCATTAAATCCTTATGAATCACAAGAATAGTATGCGTGCTTAATGAAAATGGTCCAATGAAAGATCTTCTTTCGAAATGTCGAGTAAATCCGTGAGAAACAACAGTTCCATATGTATCTGGAGGGTACGTACGTATTTTCTAATCTCGAGCATCAACAATTCTGCAAATCCTTTCAAATATTTCTTTTCCAAATCCCAGCAATCCTAACATGGGAAGTTTTCTCTACGTAGGATGCATGAAAAGCTTGACCTCTTTGCCGTGGATAATGTTAGACGTAATTCAAGACAGAAGCTCGAGTGAAAGAATCCTTTCGTTGGTTTTATTTTCCTGAAACTTATTTCAGGAGTTTTTCGTAGACATCTCTCAGCTAATTGATTTCGGTTGTCATAGTCAGTTACTCTCGGTGTTGCATTGTGTACAGCAACTGTTGACAAACTTGAAGTAGAATAGTTGGGTATGGTCAGCTGATCCTACTAAACTACTCTACTTCAAGTTTGTGCTACAATAATAGGCATCACAGTTGTTCGAATCATCACGAATTCCGCCGCGCGCATCCAGATTCGCACGAATCGAACGTCCCCCTGCGAGATTCCTTGTCCTGCCTACTACGTCGTCGGGGTCTGGAAAAGAAAATCGTCAGCTTGCGGAGATGACCATCCTAACTTCTGGAAATTTTCTGAAAACGTTCCCAAAAGGTATGTACCATCCCAAGCCATCACTCGATATCAATTCTCGGGCACCTCGTTCCCCCTCCAAGTGCCGTCGTGACTTCGGGCTATGTCTTGAACTTCCGTATGTTTCCATATGATATTGGTAAAGCTGGAAAACCACTACTACGAAGAGCGGAGTGGAGCCTGTAGCCCGGTTTGGCACTTACATGATGGAAAGTGATTTCCGCCTGCTCTCCTTGTGAACGAACGCCGCGACCTCTGATGCTGTGAAGTTGGCTGTCATAGGTTTGGTTATAAGTAAAGTGGTGTACATAGTTCACCGTTGAGGTGCTCCATCCCTCACCTTGGCCAACACAATGAGAAATGCACGGTTTTTTGTTCGGCTTTCCGATCCCCTCGCTCTTGCGCCTCATTCCGATCTATCCTTTATCCTTTCTATCCAACGTAGAAATTGTGGAGAGTGAGTATGGTCGCAAAATCATTAGTGGCAGCACACGGGTACACCTTCACCATGTCCTTTAGGTCGTCGAGGTTCATGCACTTTGATCGACACTCTGAATCAGCCAATGGAAACTGGCCAAAAGCCAAAAAAGCACACGTTCTTTACCAAATAATACCTTTATTCCTATGTTTTACTATATTGGGTTCCTTTGGTTGCTTTTAACCCGTAAGTGTAACAAAGAACGGGGGTCTGAAGAAGGTGTCTGGACGGAATGATACTTGCTGACCACCTTGGTGTGCCCATCAGACTGATGTGTAGCAGCAAAATTTGGGAAGAACGCCAAGTTGAGCATTTTTCACCCACCGTAAGCCAAGCACCTATCAATCTGCACGGGAAGGGCGGTCATTGGAAAAAATACAAAGGACTCATGCAGCAAACCTAGTAGATAAACTGAAAAGAGCAAACAGCGCTAAGGGTGTGTTATAGCACACCCTTAGCGCTGTTGGTTCCACACCTAGCAACTCATAAAAACTGGATTGCTACGGATAACGATAAACTAGTAGGTCTACACCGAATTCATCCTTTCCGGCTTTAGGTTTGGACAAGAAGTAATACAAGAGAAGAAAAACCGGCCAACGTGTAGAATAAAAGCAAGTGACACATATTGAGGCGAAAGAAGGAGCTACGAAGTCTATATGACGAGTAATGCCAGAAATGTGTTCAGCACCCGCAGCGTGGAACACCTACCCTGCACTCTGATCGGAGTAACGTGCTCCAGGGTAACGACAGCGCCGCACCCGCTGGCTTGACACACAGTACATTGTGGCATTTAAATTCTTCCAGAATATTGGACTGCTCCACTGGCATCCTTTGAATGGCCGCGCTTTAGTCATGGTATTGCAAGCGATACGTTTCCTAATCGCATGAAAAGTTCTTGTTTTCATTCATTACCCAAGTTTTTTTTTGCTCTAGTGCTCATTTACATGTCCGTTCCAATATCCTATTTGAAGAAAGTTGTCATTCCTATCTTTTTAGGTGTTCCATCGCTAAAAATTTTTTTTTACTTGGAACTCTAAAGCTCTCAGCTTGAAGTAGTTTCCGTTTGGAAAATAGAATCGGACAAGACTAAAGAAGGCGTCTCTTTTGCTTTAGAAATTTCGAGCGGTCTCAATGAAATAACTATTTCTAATGATGATCTTACGAGATTGAGAAATCTTTTTTAGTGAAATGCGGATGAATATCAGACTGAAAATCATGGATCAAACAGATCATCCGTTTGAAGTAGACGATCAGGTCAGTGAAGCTTTTAGTTACGAGGTGGTGTGCATGAGCCGTACGAGCTTTAACACATTTTCACACATGGGGTGCAAAAGCAGAAGGTACACCGATCTCCCGAACAACTGTTGAATAGAAAGCACATCAATGAACGCTTATCACAACAATGTGCAACATTAAACAAATGGGTAGGAATTGTGGGTCGAACTTTCTGTTGTAACTGCTAGTAGAACTTGACTGGTAAGTGAGCAAGCTAACACCGAAAAATACAGAGATAATGGGCACTTCTGTCAAAGGCAGACGCTAGGTAGCAAGGTAAGAATGGGTATTTCTGCGACGGCGAGACCACGAAATTGGAGGTACATTTTTCATGTCAAACTTCCACATGAGGTGAATAGGAACCTTGTTCCCATTTATGTTTGGCTTGAAAATGAAATCCCACGTCGAGGAAGTTGAAAGGGACTTACGGTTTTATTCTGCTGCAGTTCCCACTTCACTCTTGTGTGAATTGCGTATCACAGGACAAAGTTCAATCTAATAAAACAAATTTTGCGATCTGGGCAGCTCGTTATATGAAGAATATAAATGTTGAGGCGGTTTTGATGGCTAAAATATTAAAGTAAGAAAGCGAGGGATGGGTTGTTGTTGAGCTTTCCTCAGTAGAGAGGCGAAGAAGCCCATTCGATTGGCCTTCCCGTGGTATGCTCTCCTTATCTGGTACTTCCTGCGCGTGAGCCGAGTTGTATTAGGCTGGACATCTCTTGATTACCCTTATTTTAGAACTTTTTATTCAGACTCTACTTTCGGATTTTCGTCTTCAAGTTGCTGAGCGTCTTCATATTCCTCCTGACCGTCAGCGTATGATTTTCGCGGTGAGTTCCAAATTCGGTAATATTTTTCCCTATCTGCTCTTTGCGTTTCAACAAATCAAAACCTATTGCCGTTTTTTCATTGTTTGCTTATTTCGCAGGGTCACGTTTTGAAGAATGAAAATAGCACCTTGTCCGCATGCGGTCTACGGGATGGTCATGTCGTGCACTTAGTGGAGCGGCCGGCTGACATGTGCGTTTGACTTTCCTTAGGTCTTGAAAATTGCTGAAAATGAAAATGAAACTGAAAATAAGTAGCCGGTTTTTCAAAAAAAGTCCTATTAGCAGTCGGTGATTGAAGGCAAGCTTACTAAATCCTCAGAAGCGAGGTGCCGCTTCAAGGATGCAAAGGTTCATACATTATTTACAAATAACTCCAACTAAGTCTTTCTTCGTAACATTCCTTACTTCCTTCCTACGCCTGAGTTTCTTAGGAAGTCATTTAAAAACATGTTGTTTATTGGAGGTAATTAACAACTTGTTCAATATCTTCTCGTTTCGAAGTACAGATACTCACATAAAGGCATACATGCATAGTTTAGGGTAGCATTACACGGTCATCGATTGAGCATTACACAGTTCACGGTAATAGGGGTGTTTAGTTTTAGACGAGTATTGGAAGTACTAATCAGAATAGAGCAAAAGTAGTGAAGATGTTTAGAGAAATACAAGGTTTGAGGGAGGAAAAAAAAGAGTTAGGAGTTTTACGGGAATAAGGCGGCAAATTTGTATGGACGCGGTAAAGCACGGGAAGGAATACTTAAGTGAAGCGATATGAAGATTGGAAAAAGCGTCGTAGGTGATATTACTTTTAATGCAATGCTACCTTCTCCACGTTTTTGGATTAACCTTCTCTCGACTTTTTTACAATTGATACCATCTATGCGTTCTCACGAGCTGGAAGTGAACCAGTATTCAAGGTCGTAGGATCAAGAACCATTGAACCTTAAGAGAAAACAATGTCTCAAGAAAAGGTGTAAACCTTTTTCTTCTTCGCTGTAAAGCTAAGTTGACTGTCTGTACAATACGTCGTTAATTTAATCACATCGTACTTTGGTAATTTAGATGTCGTTCTGTTCTATAGAATTTTAGGCCCTTTCCTTCTTCCCAGAATGAGCAGAATGATTTTGGTAGCCGGGTTCATCATCAACAGCACGGTCGTTTCTTTCAAAACATGTTTGATCCCCACAGAAATGAGCGAGAACGAATCACTTATGTGCTCCCCTTCGAAAGAAGTGGTATTCTGATCGACAACACCCGCATTGAGGTATTTTGTATACTTGTGACACGTTTTTTTGTACGATGATTTTATGTACATGTGTATGACCACAGTTAATTAGAAAATTCTCCGGAACTACTTTAATGACAACTTTCAGGAACTCGTACGTACAGCGATAAACAACACAAGCTTTTTGACGCGCGATCAGGTTGACCGGTTTCAAATACGTTGGGAAAACGACCAGGCTCTTCATATATCTCTTCCCGCGCAGAGGTGCATTTTCGAGCATCAACTTTTTTTTTCTAAATTTACTTCCATTGGCAGCATAAGAAGTTTTAGGAACCCTCACATCGCTTCTCCCGCTCTAGAACGTGTGTCGCTTATTTTATCATTGCTTGACCAAATTGCTCATTTTCACAACATCGTTGAGGTTAGTTCACAAGTTTTATGTAATATTATAGAAACAGTAATATAAACATTATTCGTCCCGCATTATTTTTCGAACTTTAGCCTGAATTTGCAAGCACGTCTAGAGGTCATTAACTATTCTTATTTCAAAACCCCGAAATCACGTGTCTTTTGATATTTTGTGAATCACCATTTAATTTGCGAATTTCAAGGCTGAAGATGGATTAGTGGATAGAATAGACGAATTTCTCGAAGGAACACATGTTTACGATCAAGAAAACACATCTGTGATGAACGAGCAAGTTCGTGCCGTGGCTCTCTCATTAGAGAGCGAATCGATGTGTCGATCACGCCTTAGTAAGCCTTCATGAAACTTTCAACTTATTGGATTGTAAAAGTAGGTTTCTAACGAAGGGCATTTTCAGTAGATTTATATGGAAGTGAAGAAGTAGGCGAAGACGAGTCAGATGAGCATGCAGCTCGTTACCAAACTTTTGCAGAGACTGATGTGAGCCCCGGCTTTGTGATGAGGTCAATAAAGCAAGAGACGCAAATACTTTAATTCTTGAGCTGTTTACTACGCATTTTTTCGAGAAGTATGTTGTCACTTTCGTTGCAGACATGCCATTACCGATGACTTAGTGGGCATATTAAGACGGTTGAGAAATGAAGAAGAAGCTCTTCATCCTCATTTGATACGCTTTGAGCGGATATTGAACTCGCGTATTCTTTACAACATAGACGATGCTGAGGTGACTATTGTATTTAACTTGCTTCAAGATTGTTCTACTGAATTTGATAAATTTATTTCAGCACACAGATACCGACTATCGTGCCAACTTTTTTACCGTATATCTGGAGCATATACAAAGAGTACTCCATCGATTTTCCCACGCATGGCACCTTGCCAGTGATCTTAGTGTTTATTTGCATACACCTATACCTAGACGTCTTCTTCCTAGTTACCAGCAGTTTCGGCTTGCCCCTCCAACTGAGGTTTGAAGATAAATAATCTTTCTCTCGATATTGCTTGAGCTATTTTCGTTTAGGGTGAAATAGTGCTAGAATTTCATCCTACACAAGAAGCTGCCAGTAGCGAAGTTACTTCCAATGAACCTTCATGGAGGTTCCTGAACTTTCCACCACCTGGTTTGTAAATATTTCTTCCTGGGCAGATGCTCAATAGCATTCATTCTAAATTAAGGTGTTGACGTTCAAGAGCTGTCAAATGACGAGATTCGGATAATTGGGATGAATCCAACGAGTTTGTGACATTAATTCTGTTTCTTTCTGTATCATCTGGCATCTCATGATGTGTTTCCATCCAGTTCGGCGGATGCATCAAATGGGTATTGCTGTTCCTATCCCTGTATCGACCGTTGGACAGACCGGTAATCCTTCTGGCCATTCTCGAATGATTGCACCGCGGCGTCTCTTGCCTGCCCGCAGAAGCGGCACTATGCCGTGGAACTCTAGGCATTCATCCTCAGGTTTACCAATTCATCATTTTGTTAACACACTGATAACAATGCGGTTTTTGAGGTCTTCCCCGTTGGGCTGTGTGCAAGATTTTGCTAAAGAGGTGCGATTCGATGACTGACCACATTCCTCTTAAAAACAACTTTTCGGAGTGTCATAACTTCAAGGGGTCGGGCGCTTAATGACTTAGCACCCAAACCTTTTTACCATCATCAGTCCATGAAGCGTTGCCTTTGTAATGGTTTCTGACCGATGCACCAATCAATGGTATCGATCACGAGGATGCTCAGCTTTGAGCGTACTGTCAAATAGTTGATGAGTTGACTGTGGACCTAGTCAACTGGTCCCAATCATGAACGTTAGTTCAATAGCTCTGCAGCCATATATTTTTCTCGCTTAATCCCTTGCAAATTGAACACTCAGTTTGGTTGAGGATTTTAAAACAAATGTGTTCGCCTGGGCCTTCGGTGCCACGCTTTTTCTCTTTATATACTGTATTGTAGACATAGTAGACTTAGCTGATAGTCCTGTGTCGTTATCGTTGTTTATCGTTTCTTTGTTAAAATACACAAAAATGGGTATTATTTGGGTGTTTAATAACAACGAAACGATAAAATTACCGCACTCTTGGAAATCTATATAATCGAATCATTAAATCTTGAATCGCAACTTCACATTGGGCCTCCTTGTCCGTAGTGGCAAAGAAAGAATGTAAAGCGTCAAACCGCATTGTCGCCAACGTGTTACATTATCATGTGATTTTATCAACCTTTTTTTTCAAACGAAAAACCATAGGTGTCGGGCTAGTTCCACCATTTCATGAGTCGACTGCACCTTCAGGTTTCGGCGATGCAACGGTAAAGTCATATCCTAGAATCCAAATTTACTTCATCTTGGAACAGTCTCTAACTTAAGACAAACTCCATCTCAACAACCAACACATCCAATCTACGATCAGGTGACGTTCCTCAATCATCTAATAATGGGAGTTCCAATAGAGCTGCTCCTTCGTATAGGTGTGTTTGGAAAACTAGCAATATAATGTCTTTTAGATGTTAATAGTTATCAAGTTTTTTTTTTCAATATTGCTTATGATAATTCTTATTCTAGTTCAACAACCCTTCAATCTCTGGAAGAAGCACTTGCAAATGCTCTTGAAGGGGGGTTGCCTTGTACGTTTCGTTTTATTTAAAGTACTGTTCTTCAATTTTCTATCAAATAATGGTCAGAGTGCAAGTAAGAATGCATTAGGCTCATTATAGCAAAGTCATTGATTTCCTTCAGCTCTGGAATCGTCCAACCCTTACGAACGTATTATGAGGAGGTTGCTGCAAACCTCACACGATGAAAGCGTAGACATCTCCAATGTATTTCGCAGTGCTTCTGTTCAGCAGGTACTTTTTACATCTTTACCTAAAGTTTCTTTTGATTCTTCGTTGCCACTCTGTTTCGTGCTCAAGGCCTTATCTCGTACCGGCACTCGCACGGAAACTGGGACCGATGAAGGCTCTTCCGCGCAACACGTATCAACTAGACCTCCAGTTGGTTTGGTATCTCAGTGATTTTCTTGTATTGGTTCACAAGGGCTGACTTTGATTCTATCAGCGTGCACCAGTTCCGTCTCTGGGTTCGCTCGCGCGAGGGGTTATTACTCAGTCTGGTGGCGAAATGCCATTCATGTCGGTGAGTCATGCTATGTGTGGTTTCCATTATACATTTATTACATTTTATCATATTTTTATACTATCAGGAAGTCATCTCAAATATCATGAGAAATAACGGCCTCGGTACTTCGCTGCCTCCGCAAGTTGACGTTATTGTTGAATACGGGGTACGTTCTCTCTCTCTCATAAGATACTTTCAAGTTACGGGTTCATGCCAAATTCTTTTTTCGCTGTTGCAAAGGAAATTTAATTTGAGTTCAAGTTTTTTTTTTCACATCATGCAGTTTACGCACAGTTTTCCTTTACGATCCACTGCAGGACGCAAACTCACACTCTGGTTTGAATCAAGGGCAACCTCAACTGCTCAATATGGCTATGGGAGGAATAGCTGATGCTAATGGGTAGGCATGTGATACCAACTCTATTTTTTATTAACCAAATTTCGTTAGGATTCCATGTTTACCGATTCCACAGAGGAAGTGGGGACGGGGGGGGGGGGGGGGGGANGTTTTTTTTTTTTTTTTTTTTTTTCAATCAGAAAAATTTAGTTTTTACAATATATGCCAATTTCCTATAATTGTTGTTTGGAAAGTAGTCACGGTTTTTTAAAATGTTTTCGTATTCTTGTTTTGGAAGCTTTCAGATAAGTGACCTTTTGATTATACATATGTATATATACATATACATATATACCTATATATGTACATATATATACAGTAGCGCTCAAAAGTCTTCGGTGAAATGCTTTGAAGCTTTTCCGTACATAACTTTTTTTCTTAGTAGACGAAATCGCGCAAAATTTGGACATGTTTAACTAGATCATATTTCACCCTACCCAACACTATTTGACTGCGAAGCTGCAATATCCACAGATAGAGCAAGGTGTTGGTTGCTGTAGCAAATTTTGTTAAAAGTAAAGTTGTCGACGTCTGCACTTATTCGCACCTTGTGTGCGTTTTTCTCATCTATTGTACGGCGTTACCGCTCCTACACTTTAGACATGACAAAAAGGAAAGAGATTCTAGAAGGACCATCATCTGTATTTTCAATCGATTTGAATTCATGCTCTTTGGAATATCTGGAACATGATCCGATTGCAGGTTAATAGTGGTAAATATTCAAACTACACCAATGCTACACATATTGAAATTTCGCTTGATCAGATCGACTGACGAACCATTTCAGTAAAGACTTTTGAGCGCTACTGTATACCAGACGTTTTGCCAGACTAACTCTTGGCTTCCCTCCTTCTTCTGCAAAATTGTAGTGATCGGCTAACTCTGTACTCCTTCTTTGAAACAAATAATATTTTCCTTCACGCAAAGTTTGACAGGGCTAACAGGCCAGTGCAAATGGTAATCAAGTAGGTCGGTGCTTACGCCTCGATCTTTTGTTCTCGTTCTTAAAGGTGAATACTCATTAAAATTCAATTGTTAGGTAGCCAAAGCCTTGGATGGTACCCACAAATGTTTCGAGTGATGATGACAATATTTCGCATGTCGTTATCAATGACTTTACTCATCTAAGAGATATCATTAGTTGAGAATTCCGATTACTGGCGCTTAACTTTTGTCGCAAATGATATCGAGCAAAGAGGTTCTTCATTGAGTCGCAAACCTTGCTGAATTGCGGTCGTAATCCAATAGCAAGAAACGTACAAAATTCTCATCTGTTTATCGTAGCGCAGCTAATGGGTCCCTATCACTGCACTTACTACTCACTTTTGTCACCCTACTTTACAATCCCACTTATGGAATGAAACATACCGAGCAGTCAAAACTGCCTCGTAAATATCGAAAGCGCTAGGACTTCGGTAGGTGGCTCTTGCTCTCTTACACCCCTTATCTTCTCCTATCACTTATTATCGGTTCCTGTCACCGAGTAACTACAACCCGTCATATCCTACATCATCCATTGGAATGCCAATGTTCCAAAGAACTGTGATCCTACCAAATTTGAACTCTTTAGGTCCACGGAAACAGGAGTTATGAATTTGCGGTCAAATTTTAATCGCACACTCTCCTCCTCCTGTAGGCAGAGTATGACCCTGCTACCTGCCTTCAGTGTTTCCATCCTGCCTCCTGTGCTCCCACCAAATTTTAACTCTCTGGGTCTTTGGAAACAGGAGTTATGAATTCCCGGTCGGACACAACAACCGACGCACACACACGAACAGACACACACAAATACACCAGCAAACCAACAGACGCGTTGGCGAATTATATTAGGCTGTTCGGAAAGAAATGCGCGTCTGAGCTTCAAAAATCTTTTGTTATAAAAACGGAACTAAACAAGATCAATTCAAAATAGAATCTCCATCACTATCAATGACTTGTTGCCAATGTTTACGCAAAGAATGGATTCTTCTTCCGAAAAACTCAACCGGTTGCAACTCAAAGTAGTTGGACACCCAGAGTTGGACTTCTTCGCGGTTTCTGAGTTTTTCTCGGCCAACAAGTGCTGTATCGACCGGAACAGACGGTAATCGAATGGTGCCAAGTCTGGGCTCTATGGCGGATGAGTTAGGATTTCCCATCTCCTATTCCTCAACTTTTCCCAAATTAATTTTCGCGATCCATACCCGCGACCCGACACGCGACGCGACGGTGCGATACCCATTTTCCGCACCTGTTCGTCTTGCCAATTGACAGCATATGTTCATGGATGGTAGAGTTGAGCAGCCAGAATGTGTTGCAGGTTTTCGAGTAGTTTGGCATGGATCCAATCCAGTGACGGACTTTAACACTTGGTTATCGACGACCTGAGGCCGACGTCCATGTTCTTGTCCTCTAAGCTTTCATTACCGTTTTTAAAACGCTGTAACCATCGTCGCCACTGGCTTTCTGACAAGGCTTCTTCCCCAATACCTCGGATGATGGGTTTCAGCAGACGATTTGGCCTGCTTAGGTCATACCGCGTGTAATCCGCAAAAAGAATTTTTGGTCAAGCATTTCCTAAACTTTTTTCTTCGGAGAAAACAAAGTAGACATAGAAAAATATATCAAAAGATGCGCAATAAAAATCTCGTTCTAGTAGACGGAAATGTTTCGAAAAATCATGTATAGCAGGAGGAAAATAATTGGATAAATTCAACACGCTTTCCTCCTAGAGCGTTAAAACTCGGTAGGAGCGCGGGGGCGGGATGGGAACACTTATGATGGACGGCAGAACCGGACTCCTTTCACAGGGGGCGGGATGTACGCGATAGAAATTTTGGGCAACAAATTCATAACGCCTGTTTACGTGGCCCTAGAGCGTTCAAATTTCTTAGGATTACACTTCTCGTGTTAACAAGAGAGGATAAGGGACCTAAGGGAGGCCACCTACTGATCAAAACTCTTAACGTATTCGGTATATACGTTGTAGTGTGGACCGTTCAGCATGTTTCATTCGATAAGACGAGATGCGGGAGTAGGGTGACAAAAGTGAGTGGTAAGTGCAGTGATAGGGATGGCAATTTGATGAGCAGATGAGAATTTTGTCCGTTTCTCGCTATTAGATCACGATTGCTACAAGTTTTATAACTTAAAGGCACGGTTCACGATCAAAGTGGTTACTGAGTTCTTTCCTTAGGATTATTAAGTGGACCCCATGGGTTTTAGAAGGGTCTCTCTCGCTCCCGAAATCTCGATGGTCAGGGCATAGCGGAACTCCTGTTGCTGTCTTGGGTCGCTTTTCCGCCTCTCGATCGCTGTATTGCTTTGACACTCGGCAATCAGACGAGTGTCAAAGCAATACAGATTGCGGTTGTTCGTTCTAGGACCCACACACAATCAGCTGATCGCCGTGTGATGAGCCGATGTTTTTCTCCCATTCATTTCTCCTCTGTTATTCTTTTTTCTGCCGCGATCCCTTATTTAATTTCCTTCCCTAAGGCTGAAAAAAGAGTTATTTTTGTTGTTACTAAGGTTTTTTGTTCGATTATGCTTATAAGCTGATGAATTTTTGCATACCGTAGTTAGTTATTTTAGTTATTTGTACGAGCACCCACACTTACGCAATGACGCACTGTGCGTAGCTCATCCAAACGCCCCACTCTTATTCATTCTTCTAACGATTATTCGAAATTTTTACTTCGGAAACACCTATTCACGCAGTTCCTTCGCCTTCATCGCACTATTTTCTATCTTATCCTCAACTTTCGTCATAATCTGGGTTACCCAAAATTATCGAGAACTGTGCCTTTAGGACTGCGATGTTAGGTTGTAGGAATTGGCTGGACTAGGTCCAGCCAGCAGGTGGCTAGGGGGATGGGAGGCGGAACATCCGTGAAAGAAGCTTAGTCTGAAGTGCAATCTGGTTGGGATGAGAGAGAAATAAACAATGTTACTTCGACACGCAGGGCCTGAGCAAGACTTCACTATGGATAGAAGAAAGCAGTTTTCAGCCGGTTTCATATGTGAAAGAACTTTTATTGGCGCTTGGATTTGAAAGCTCTTCCACCTAATTCGTAGGAAACAGGTTCATACACTTAATTGGAGAAGTTGATTGCCACGTTTCATTCCAACCTCTAGAAGAAGAGGTTTGGTCTCGAGCCACGCTGAAGCCTTCGTCTATCCTATCAAAAAACTGGTGAGCATCAGTATGACAATATTTACCTGAATAACGTTCCTTTTACATGGCTTCTTGCTCGAAACTGGTGTCATCGATTTATTAGGGTCAAGAATCCGAATCTTCATATCATGATTGCAAGCCGAATGTAAAAGCTGCTCTATCATTGTACGCCAGCGGTGTAGGCGGTGTAGCTCGGCGTTTAACCCCATCGCAAAAATCTTATATCAAAGAGGGAGTGTAGATGCTCGAGAACTCTTTCTGCAAATGCAAATTGCATATTTGACGTTTACAAACCATTGATTGATTAACAATAGAAAACATGCGGGGCGGTATACTCCATTATGACGGTCTCAACGACCTAGCACTATTCCTTTGACGCCAAATGTTGTGAACATAGGTGCTAGTTTTAATGGAGTAGTAAGTATCGAGAGTGGCGGGGAACGTGCGATTCACTCGCGGCTCGATCTCGATTAGAGCTCCTCTCGCACGCAGGACGAAACGCACCGCGCGACAGATTACGTATTTTATGCGTTGCGTTCAGTGCGCGTTCAATGCGATCGCTTCAGTACCCTTCAGTTGAGATGTACCAAACGAGTTGTGCACTAGTCCATGGCTTCATAATGAAGTAGTGCAAACCTCTTCACTATGGCAAACAAGCCCCTTCGAGATTAAAGATTCACCTCGTAGTTCAACAATTTACTTAACAAACTCTCAAAATAGGAGTTACTTTAAAACGTTCTGATCCTAATAAATGCAGTCCTTCTGTAAACATGCACAGTTGGTCATTTTTTTACTTCTCTTTTATAGGTTCCTATTTCTCCCACTATGATGGTTGGCATGATGTTATAGCGCGTCTCGTCCATAACACCGCGCCGCTGTAGGCCCCGCCCTTCACTCAGATGAACTCATTATATTGACGCGTGAATCGCACTACACCCGAGAACGGCCACGAAAAACTACTCAAATTGGAATGACATATGCAGAAAATTCGGCCAGGAGAGAGCCAAACTGGAACCTGCTATCGTTTCTAAGACTTGAGAAGTCGAACATCTTCTGAATTCGTGAAGTGCTTTTCGGAATAATATATGTGAAGTGGAGTTCCGCATAGGTCTTCATTCATAGTTTCACGGAAATTTAAAATCATGTCTTGGTGAGTGAGAACATCGGTTAGTAGGATGCAGCACTCTTTGTCGATTTTCTTGCTACTCGTTTTGAAAATCACTGTTTTGAGGAGGCAACCCGCTGCTGTTGGATATCACGTCGAAGTTCATCAATTCGACATATTCAGTCATACGCCTGAGCAAGAAGATACTCCGCAAAACTCGAGTCAAAATGATGCGACATCAAGCGCACCTACATCTTCTTCAACAAATGTCGCACCAGTAACAGTGTCAACGCCTTCGACTGTTACTAATGATTTCAATCACAGCAGACCGCGACAGCAAGGTAATCGAATATCTGACAACACATGTTCAGTTTTATAATAGTTGTGAAAGGCTTAGTTCACGATAGCCTGGGTTTTCTAGTTTGAGACGAATAATTAACCCTTTGACGACAGCCCGGCTCAACGGTTTCTTGATCGCGTGGGAAAGCTAGGCCCAACGCTGAGCCGCACTCTTCTCAAGGGCTAATTTTTTTTTTACTTAATTTTTTAAAGTTTTTTGTATTTATTGGATTTAAAATTTGCAATTGGTTGTATGCACGAAATGGGTCGAGCAACAGATTATTAATTTCAACAAACTTCGGACAAATTCAATCATCCTGTTAAAAATCACATTTTGTGCTTTTTTTGGAAACAATCAATGCAAAAATGATTTCAGTAGACACGTCTCGTTTTGCTGGAAGCGTAAACGCGCCCGTAGCCTCGAGATAATTGTTTGTAACAACCTATACATCTTACAAACTTCTGTTTTCCGTCCTCGCAATTCTTCCAGGCTGCGACTTGTTGCTGTCGCACAGACTTTCATTTTTCTAGAGTGATTCAGTAACACTCATTTTTGAATCATTAATTCTTATTTCATCTACCACATCATTGTGCAGTTTCCAGGAATTTACAAATGCTGTCTGTGTCATAAGGTGGAACAAAATCCTGAGATACCACTTAGCAGTTCTCTTCACAAATGAAGTATATGCAGACATTTGGTCGCTTTGATAGTCAAGTAACATAATTTTGATGTAATCTTCTACAGCTTGCGGTTTGCCGTTTGGAGTTATGGACCCGTCTTATCTCGTAAAAATCATGAACAAATCGCATTTATCCTTCTACTTCAAACCAATTCTCCGTTCTGATTTTCCTCATAGTACACTTGCCCTCTTTCAACTTCCTGTCCTTGACTTTTGTTGGTATTCCTTTACGATTTTTTCTCAAAGTCCCGGACAAAAGGGAGCTGTGTTTCAATAAGCTATTAGCCAGAGGTACGCTCGAATACCCGTTATCGGTGCAGAGACGTCTACCATGATCCAAAAGACCGTCCATTTATTCCATGACCTTTGATACAGCTACAGGATCTTTCCTTGAATGCTGCCTCCCTGTACAAATCTCGGTTGTCCGCGTGTGACTATCTTTGCAACATTGTTTGAAAGGGTTTTTTTTTTCCATATTTGTGCCTCTTGGGAGGGACGTATTGCCTGAAAACTATCCAGCCTCGGAATGGTACTAGTGTCTCATGAGTTCAGACTTCTTTTTCAGGTTTGTAGGCTTCCACGCACTTCGTTTTGAACAGTTTCAGGAAATCATTGATCTTGTAAACCTGTTGCCACCGAATTGATTATTGTCGACAAAGTGAAGAGAGTTCAATAACTGCTGAATCGGGTCCTTGGCATCACTCATCGAGTGTCCACCAATCGCAGGTCTGGTACTCCAATAACCTCTCAGCTTCGGCATCTGCACTACTCCCATTTGTATGCATAAACTCATGAATTTTTTGAATTCGGCAGGACAAGTATCTTGAAAATTAGAATCTTTTGCTCTCCCCTGTCTATTCGTTTCTCCGACGATGAGTGAAAGCATTCCTCCGTTCAAATATAGTTCGTAAAAATCAATCGGTTCGTGGCAACTTTGTACACAATCATACGGACCAAATTGTGAGTGAATACGTAGTCATCATAAACTTCTGCGTCGCTAGTCCATTCGTCCTCACTCTCGCTGTCTGATACTGATAACGTCTCACTTTCTGTATCAGATACGTTACCCGTAGGTAATACTAGGGCGTTATTAAGGAAAGAATCGTTTCTCGAAGTCTCCTCTATGTCATCATCAGGCTGGACTAATAGTCTTTCAAAACCAATCTTCTACAGGGTGCTGATCCATTTTTGACTCCTAAAGATATAGTGTGCATAAAACCGGGGTTGATGAGAGTAGAAAATTGATACCTTCTTTATTTATACCTTTTTGAAACTCAATGATTAGAAAAAACCTGAGAAAAGTGAAAATAGATTATCACAGAAAAGAATGGCCAGTGGGACAGTGCGGCCCAACGTTGAGCCGCGGAAATGGAAAGCTTCAAAAGCCCGTGTCCCGTGCGTCAGGCAAGGGTCAAAGGGTTAAAGAAGTTCTCCAGATAGTGTAAAGGTGACGAAGAAAGTACGAAAATCTCCGTGTTTAGTTAGATGTAGGGCTTCAAAAGAGGTGTAAAGTTAGGGGTTGGATGATAATGTGACGACAAAGGTTACATGGAAATGGCGTTCGCAATTGTCAGTTGCATGCAGCGTGTTCGTCCCTGTTGCAACCTCAGCTCTACAACGCTGTGAGAATTCATCCCTTTGGGTGTGTACGTCGGCTAAATTTTTGAACCCGACAGCGTCACCTGTGTTATCTTCGTTGTCACCATACATAAGAATTTCGGAAACCATTTTATCGTGGTCAGTGCTCTGAATTCGTAAATTTATCCAAATAAATGATGTATAGTGATGGTAAAATATAGCGTTTGTAGGCCATTTTCAATTTGCATGTAAGATTTCAGGCCCGCCAGGATTTCCATTCCTTATGGGCGGAATGAATTTCCCACCAGAGATGCATTTCACAACACCGCGGCAAGATGTATTTTTTGCATAGGATTCTGCGCCCACCATCATTAATAATGTAATTATTTCAGATTGTTAATGTGGATCCATTTTTATCGTGCGCGAGTCGATTCACAGATGTGCAACGAGTTTTACGAAGCAGTCACCCCAATGTTTCTTCCCAACTATCTCCTTACCGTCGACTGATGGGAGTAGGTTTTTTCATTGTTTTGTGGACTCTAGAAGGTACAGAAATTAACCCAAGCGTTATATTAAGGATTCATTATCATCAAGTTCACTTACTGACCGCCGCGTAACACCTGTAGATGCTTACGAGCGAGTTACGGTAAGCGCACTGTTGTAGCTTTGTTTCAAGTACTCTAATCCTTATTGCAGCTTGCCCTTAATTCTTCGGGTCACGTATTAATGGCAAATGAAAGCGATTTTGAGAACTTCGTGCAACTAGCTATTCGCTCCGCTCTGAGTCAAATGGTTCATACAGATCAAGATCGCAACTCTCGTATGTGCCTCATTATTACCATTGTTTGAAAACTACAGAAAAAAAACTGTAAATAGTCCTATTTTATTGTTGTCTGTTATGTTGAAAAGGATGGTCTCCTTTTTATCGGCACTTCGCCTTTTTTTAACTTCTTCTTTAAAGAAAATACCTCTCTACGCCGTAAGTTCCCTCACTAGTTCATGGGAATTGGGATAACTCACCATTAAAGTGTCGGGAGAGGGGGCGGAGGTTGTGAAGTGGCAAGTGGCGCACTATCTCTCACGCATGGTCGTGGATTCGAACCGAGATCGACACACGCCTAGGCCAACCAAGCCTTCCATCCCTTCCGGGTCGGTTAATTGGTACCACAGGATAAAAGTACCGAGTTGTAAACCGACTAGCCATCGCAAGTTATTGGATAGGCCGCATACTCATGCAATACGCCACTACAATTCCGAATGGAAGTCGAATGCGTGGGCGCTCCCTCAGACGGGGTTGAGTAAGGCTCCAAGAAGACTTTAGTGCTTAACGAAAGTGCGCAGTCGTCGCTACTACATCGAGCGTCGAATTGGCATAGGAGTAGTGCTCTCTTTGCGTGCGTGAGATCGAGGTTGTTTCCCGACGTGAACAAGGTTCCGCACATGGTCTTTCTCTTTGATAGGAGCTTTGATAACCTTTTCTTACATTTGTTCAAATAGGCATCCTATTTCAGCTGTCGCATACGTTTGTCGTACTTGTTTAAGAAAGGTGGGAACTGCACGTGAATTGTATGAATCTGATCTGTTTTTAGCGTTGAGACACATCCAACACAAATGGCTCTCGAAGAGAAACCTGTTAGGAAATTGACACTGGTGGAGCAACCCAAAGAATGTGTAACGCAGAATGCACACCTTGTACGTCGCTCCTATAAACCGAAAAAAAGTCAATCGAGTCAAGAAGTGAAGCAACAGTCCAGGTTTCATCAACATTCCATGCGCTCTACCACAAGCATTTCGAAAATTAGAGGTCATAAAACGGGTGCTATGCCTGCAATAGCTAATTACATATTATGATCGACTGGAGTAGGGCCTGTCCATTCAAAAGTAGGTACAATAAGGAAATGCATCTCATCATGGACTCTTGGTCGCCTTTCCGCGATATGGCATCATTTAGAGGCTATACGTTAAGGAGAGGAGAAGGTTTCATCACTTTATATACTCGTGCGTCGCTATTTCATTGTCTTGCTTTTTATTTGCTATTTCACCTTTTTGTTGCCAGATATCCTTCTGCTCGAAGCGCCGCTTGCTGCAGTTTGGGATTTCTCTTTATTTGGGTTCATCCACTTGATCTGAGTCCAATTTCTATCTCCTATAGAGCTGTTTGATTTAGTTCTTTTTTTTCAACCATCGATTAATAGCTATTTAATTAAACAACGAAACTTTTTTAATAGTTAGTCAGAAGGTGTTGGAGCATTCCTTCAACCATTTTTTTCGATTTGTTCATTCGCCTTTCGGGTGAAGATAGTACATTCCCGTGAAATACAATTCAAAGAATATATTAAGAATGGCAATTGAGATCTTGTTGCATTACAGTGTTATAGTGAGAAGTACAGATTCCCTTTCTTTCAGAGAATGCACGAGGCGGTGGTAGTCGTATGTTCCCTGGTCAATCGGTGCAAGTGAGTTTGGAAACGTTACAGATTTTTCCTTCGACATTTCGAAGGCGCCATGTATCTAAACAGAGCATTGAATTGTGAGCAAATAAGCAATTAGATCTCTGTGAAGTCACACAGTAACGTGTTCAACGCTAAGGAACGTTGGACTATTCACTACTCTTACTGGTTGTGTTTTGTCGCATTTTAGCTGGCATTCTCAAGATATTGAGCTGTATGCTCAAGTTTTGCAAAATGGAAGTATTCTTTCTCTGGTTACATTTCTGCATTTCTGGTGTTGGCAACCCAATAATAAGCTGCACAATAAGTTCAGCATTTTTTCGAATTCCAATGTTTTCGGCATTCCATTATGCTTCTGTGGTTGCTAAAGCTGCTTATTGGTTCACGGCAAATCCGTATGGCTAAACTGCAAGGGTTGGTAAGCTATGGAGGACTTGTATGGTCATCGGCGCCTAGCGGTATCTGCTGTGGTTAATTTCTTATGCTATAAATTACGACTTCAATGTATAAGGCCACTCAGTCACTGTGCGTAGGATGAAGCAGAATAGACAGGCACATTCTGCTCCATCCTACGCACAGTGACTGAATGGCCGAGTATCGAGGCCCTTAAAAGTAGAAAGGTTTGCAACAGTCGTTATGCTTATCCTTTACGTCATGCGCAGTCTTGGTCGATCCCTACCTTGTTGCACATCGCTCTTGCTCCGTTCCTCGTCGGTAAACATGTGGTAAAAAAACGGCAAAAAAATTCTTTGAAAATTGTTTGAAAACTGAATTCGGTTGGATGCAATTCGATTTCGGTGACTCCCTAGGGCAGTAGACTCTTTCAATCGCTTCATACCATCTATGTGCTCCT